TGCTCCATTGAAGTCAATAGAATCATAGAATATCAGGGTTGGAAGGAACCTCATGAGGTCATCTAGTCCAACCCCCTGCTCAAAAGCAGGACCGATCCCCAACTAAATCATCCCAGCCAGGGCTTTGTCAAGCCTGACCTTAAAAACTTCTAAGGAAGGAGATTCCACCACCTCCCTAGGCAACGCATTCCAGTGTTTCACCACCCTCCTAGTGAAAAAGTTTTTCCTAATATCGAACCTAAACCTCCCCCACTGCAACTTGAGACCATTACTCCTTGTCCTGTCCTCTTCTACCACTGAGAATAGTCTAGAACCATCCTCTCTGGAACCACCTCTCAGGTAGTTGAAAGCAGCTATCAAATCCCCCCTCATTCTTCTCTTCTGCAGACTAAACAATCCCAGTTCCCTCAGCCTCTCCTCATAAGTCATGTGTTCTAGACCCCTAATCATTTTTGTTGCCCTTCACTGGACTCTTTCCAATTTATCCATATCCTTCTTGTAGTGTGGGGCCCAAAACTGGACACAGTACTCCAGATGAGGCCTCACCAATGTCAAATAGAGGGGGACGATCACGTCCCTCGATCTGCTCGCTATGCCCCTACTTATACATCCCAAAATGCCATTGGCCTTCTTGGCAACAAGGGCACACTGCTGACTCATATCCAGCTTCTCGTCCACTGTCACCTCTAGGTTCTTTTCCGCAGAATTGCTGCCTAGCCATTCGGTCCCTAGTCTGTAGCTGTGCATTGGGTTCTTCAGTCCTAAGTGCAGGACCCTGCACTTATCCTTATTGAACCTCATCAGATTTCTTTTGGCCCAATCCTCCAATTTGTCTAGGTCCCTCTGTATCCTATCCCTGCCCTCCAGCGTATCTACCATGCCTCCCAGTTTAGTATCATCCGCAAATTTGCTGAGAGTGCAATCCACACCATCCTCCAGATCATTTATGAAGATATTGAACAAAACAATAGAACTATGCTGATTTACATCTGCTGGGGATCTAGCCCTGAAAGGTTAGGGGCCTGATCCAAAGCCCACTGGAGCCAATAGAAAGACTCCCATTGATTTCAACGGGTTTTGGATCAGACCCTCCAATTGTACACTGCCCATGCTCATGAAGAAATTAAGGAACCGGATGGTGCAGCTGAAAGTCTAATAAATGGATGTCACTTCTACCTGGTACAATTTGGGAATAACTCCACTGAACTCAATGGGAAACCAAGAGGAGAGTCACAGCCCCAATGGCAGCAGATGGCTCCAAGTAGCCACTGCAGTTCACATGTTATCCAAAATGGAAACAATCTCTTCCAATTGTTCTGAAGGGGGCAGATCCTCCCCTGGTGTAGATCAGATATTAAGTCAATGGAGCTACTGTGACTTTCTCCAGCTGAGGATCTGGCCCCCAACCTGTAACAATATCTTCTAGCATTCTTCCCCTGCAGCAGATTCCTTGCTAAGTTCCTTTCAGGAGGTTTCCTTCCTCTTTTTCTTGTCTTTTCCTCTCCACTGCAGGTCAGATTCCAGACATTTGGAAAACAGCCCCCTGGTGTCCTTGGCATTAATTTTTGGTATCACATCAGTTGAAGGAGCTATAGGTGGGTGCAGGCCTTTATAGCAATTTATAACCATTGACTATTTATTAAAATATCTATTAATAATTTATTAACACTTTATAAACTATTTATAAACAGAGACGATATAAAGTGTGGCTAAATTACCTATGCAATTTGATTATTGCAATAATGATTTTGTATGATCTAAAACTCCATCTTCTGTCATAGCCTTTCTGATCTCTCCCTCTCCAAATGCTAATTAATACCCTCCAAAAAGGAAAAGTCTCAGCATAATCCAGCACCAGTGAATTTCTCCTCATAACTAGATTCCCTGTAGAAACATTAGGGGAAAAAATCTATTACTCCATAATTAATCGGATGCAGAAATGATTGTACTTCCTTATTCTTTGTATGTTTTAAAGCATAAAACTCAATTAAAATGTATTCACAAAAGGCGATTGATCTATACTGGGAATTCTGAATCCCTAATATCTCTTGAAGTGGCAACATCCTAATAGCTTAAAGCAGAGAAAACATTTGGGGCTAATTTCAGGTCTCAGTTACACTGCTGTAAATCAGGATTAATTCCGGTGATTTTAATGAATTTACAGTGGAGTCATTCTGAAGATCAGAGTCTAAACCATATTATTCTTAATTTTAAAGAGATTTAATCCATCCATTCTTTTGTCTTGACTATGTCTTTTATTTTTATAGTCTAGGTTTGCTTTCTTTCAATATAGCAGTCTACGAAAACTTAATGTTGACAAAGACTGAAATTTAAAAAAAAAAAATTGTACCTGTGCCTGAAGGGTGGCAAATACAAGTTCCTGAAAATGGTTTATTAACATGCTTTATTCACGGATTTTGCACCTGCTTAGTTATACCAAAAATGAGCATTATTCTAACATATGAATATAGAATATTCTCTTTGTCCTCTGTGTTTGTATGTACAAATATGTATACACACATGCATTCCTAGAGTCACAGATTGTGTGTGTGAGTGCGTGTGATATTTCTCTCTCCCCTCTGCTTTTTTGAAATTTTTGGGTCTGTGGTATACATGAGGTCAGACTACATAACCACAATGATCCCTTCTCGTTTTAAAAACTGTGGATCCTATCAATCTATGAATGCAAGTATGTTTATGGGTAGGTATCTGTGTGTGTGTGTGTGTGTGTGTGTGTGAGTACATTCCTACCCATTTAACACACACACACACAGGCATTAATATATATGTAAGCACACAATCTTCGATATATATGCCTATGTGCAAAAGCATAAACTGGCTAGCTCTAGATGATAAAGGTAATTTGAAAAAACAAAACAAAAAACCACTGATCTTAGCGTAATTGTTGGATAAAACCATTCGGGTGGGGAAGATGATTGCAAACACCTCGGTGGGGATGTTCGGTGTTGCTAGCTTCTGAAATGGCCCTGTTTTACATGGAAACTAGTTGCTGTCCTTCGTTCTTACTGGTTGGGCTGCTTTCCTACCCGCCCGCTGGTGAAATCGACATGGGCATATGGCTCCTTTTGATCGCCCCTGGGGTCGGTCACGCTTCTAAACTGTGGGATTCCGGATGTCCAACAGTGCCAAGGGGTTAGTGACTCGGGGCCTGGAACAGAGCCTGGCGTTCAGGAATATACCCTGCGGGGTGCGTGTGTCTGGGAGGGTGCGTCTGCCTCAGCGGAAACACCAGGGGAAAGCGCCAGTCCTGTCCCAGGAAGGGCGGGGAGGGTCTAGATCTGGGGCGGGGGGGCAGTTTTCGGAGTCAGGGGTTACTTCCTGAAGATCAGCGAGCCAGGGGCACAGGAAACTGAAATCTTTACATCGGGGCTCAAATAAAACAGATGGACCAACTCTTCCCAGCCCCACCCCACACCGCACACAGGAGTGCACGGTTCCTTGGGCTTACATAAAATCTTACATACAGAGGCTGTGCATGTGTATATAGACACACCCAGTTATATGAATGTCTGCAAAGTATGCTACAGCGGACCTCTGCCTCTATATACTATATATTGTTAACGTGCATGTCTAAATAATCATAGCTGCACTCCAAGTATGTACATTGACCTACATACATAAAATGTGGGTACACATAATGTGGGTGTGTAGGTCTACAAACACATTAAAATATAAACATTTATCTTTATTCACAAAGTAATTGTGTGCATATCTGAGCACGCCCACCCAGAGTACATACTTTTATTTACATACGCAAAATATGTATATAAATAATCTGTGTATATGTTCACGCGCACAAAGTACATTTACCTTTATTCGCTAAGTGTGTGTGTGTGTGTTTATATCTGCACACACAGAGTATATACATTTACCTACACGAACAAGTATATAAATAATCTGTGTACGTATCCACACACAAGGTACACCCATTTACCTTTATTCACGAAGCTGACGTGTACGGGTGTAGATAAATGTGTGTTTATATCTGTACACACAGAGAGTATATATATTATCTACAGGAGCAAAACATATATATAAATAATCTGCCTGTGTATACATCCACACAGCGAAAATACATGCATTTACCTTATTTCATAAAGTAGATGTATGTTTATAAATAATTGGGGTGTATATTTATCTTCATGCACACTCACAGAGTATACACATTTACCTACATAAACAACGTGCCCTATTTGCACACACATCTTCAGACACACACGAAGCACGTACCTCTAGACACACAGTACATAGAATGTTCATGCGGGTAGTTTGGGGGCTGCACATCATCAGTAAAGGAGGCATAGATAAATATTACTCTGGCCTGTGTGTTGGAGTCAGTCCGTCTCTCTCCTCCCGCAGGCACCTACCTTATTTGAACATAGGCGGAGCTGGTGGTGGCCAGTCTAGTTTTATTCTTGCTCCATCCATGAGACAACTGTCTCAATGTTTTCTCTGCATCGTAGACGAATTTAATGTTGGGATAGGGGTTAGGGTTATTTCCTTCCCAGTTATTTGTGTCTCCGTTTTTTTTTTTAAATTACTTTGGTGAAACAAAGCAAAACATGTTACTGGCGATCAAATAAACTCTCCAAATGTCCCTGTGCTTGTAAAGGTAAAGACAGACAAAAGGTACCTGTGAAACAAAGCAGGCTGTCGCTTTGTAATTCAGAAACCTAAGTGACTAATTCTAGAATTCCCTGAAACTGCCACTCATAACGACGACCCCAAATTCTTTAGAGAAAGAAAATGGTACAAAAACAAACAAAACCATGGGGGAAAAAACATCCCTCTGGAGAAATTAGAATGATCATAACCACAATTTTAAAAATAACTGCATCTGAAAAATAAAATCCCAGTTTAAGAAAAAACAGAATATTGTAGGGGAAATAATTATACTACAGCTTTTTAATTTAAACTGAAATATGGATTTGATTTTCCATTAATCTACCCATATCCCCCCATAAATAATGAACAAAAACTCCATTTTAAATCTGTTTTATTGACTCTTCACATACATAAGCGCTTAGAAAAGGTTACGGTTTGTTTTGTTTTTAAGGTTGCTTTTGAAAGTATTTAACCATCAATTAACAATCTTTCTGCGCCTTGGGGACAGTTGTGCTGATTTCATTTTGATTTTTGGTGCTTTTTTAATACAGAGGCAAAAAATAAAAAACTCACAGATGCACCTGCTGCATATACATTTCAGATTTTTCTCAATTCCACGGCAAAAGTTACCTATCATTTCCCGTTCCCCTTTAAACATCACAGACTCACATCAAGGGTACATACATTTCTCTATAAGCACGCTACTCTATTCAATAAACATCTAGGAAATCTCAGTGAGTCACATGCCTCCCAGAAGGTTTGGGAAAAAGGGACAACAAAGATTAGAGGTGGGGTTATTTCCACACTTCTTCCCCTCCCTCTAAAGAAATGAGAAGCACCCACAAGTTAAGATAGGACCAAGTCACACACACATCTCAAATTCTACAGCACGGCTCTATTAACACTGTCTAGGTACAGGTGACGCGCTAGATCACCTTGCGTATCTTTGATCGGATTGTCAGGACCGGAGTGGGTTTCAGTTACCCACTCGCCCATCCTCCCCATACAGGGATTTGTACATCCCAGCGTGGGAAGGGCACAGCTGTTTGCATTGGACGGGGATGGGAGCTGTCCAGCACAAAAACTTGCTGAAATTGACAACACTCACGCTTGAAATTGACAACTGGCCTTGATTAAATTAACTCAGGATATCTTCAGATTTTCTTATGTAAAAGAGGGAGAAATAGTCAATCCATTGTATTTTAATTGTAACAAACCAACATAGCTTTTAAAAAAGACCACAGCCTCCGTTTAGGATTAATATGTTGGGAGCAGATGGTGTTTTTTTTTTAAACTTTGTATTTCAAATAGTGTGTTAAATACTTTTTTAAAGGCCAATTCATTCCACTTATTTTGTTTAAAAACTCGACCCCACCCTGAAGTACTTAGTGAGGCCAGAAAAAACAGGTTGGAATCTGAATTCTGTTGGGTTTCCCGCACGCTGGGCTGTTGGCAGAAGTGTCTATGGAAGGATGTAGCTGATCAACCAGTGAATGGCTCAGGTCCCCCATCGAGTTTGTATCTTACTGTATTATACAATATACAGGTTGGGGCAGTGGCTGGGGGGTGGCCAGGGGTCGGATCAGCGAGCTGGCTGCCTGTAGTTCCCATTGATCTCTTGGGAGATGTTCACAGCCTCGGCCCCAAGGGGCAGCCTGTCGCTGTATTCGGACCCCACCTCAAACTCCTCTGGATTGGTTTTGGATTGGGACTCGGCGATGGATTCGGCCACCAGGCTCTCGTCTCGCTCCAGCTCCCTCTGCCCCTCCGCCTCCCGCTCTGCCTCACCTTCTCCTGGCTCACTTGGGTTGTAGTTCTTCTCCGACTCCAGGTAAGAGGCCCGCGGGTCGAAGTCGGCCGCCATGTGCTTCTCCATCTGGTCTGGGTTCTGGGCCTTCATGATGAGTTTGTAGGTTTTGCCCTGATACTTGGCGAGCAAGTGGCAGCAGGTGGCCCCCAGCAGGGGGACGGTGGCCAGGGCCAGCAGGAAGATGCTGACCACCACGATGATGATGAGGGAGGGGATCTCCTTCTTGGTGGTGAAGACCACTTGCACCTGGCAATCCTCCCCCAGGTAAGTCAGGCAGACCGAGTAGTTGGTGCCGGGGGTCAAGCCCTGGAACCAGTAGGAGTTCACACCTTCCTCGATCCTGGACCACTGCACCATGGAGTGGCCGTGGCCGCTCTCCGCGCACAGGTAGAGCGCCCGCAGGTGGGCTTTTTCCGGTTGTCCGTAGAAGGGGGTGAGCTGCACCTTGGCCTCGTTCTCCGACACGTCCAGCGCGATGACGCCCAGGTCGAAGGTGTGCTGCTTCAGCTGGCCACTCTGGTTGAAGGCATGGTTGGAGACGTACTGGGTGTCCGCGCTGGAGCCGCAATTCTTCTCGAAGGGGGGCCGCTTGGAGGGGACCTGTTCCAGCCACGGCGAGTGGGAGCTGTGCCGGGTGGGGCTGAGGGGTTTGGGCCTCTCTTCGGGGCTGAGGACGCTGTTCTTGGAGCCCTTGGGGCCCGGCTTCCTCTCCCCCGGCTGCGCTTTGCCTGCCAGGGGATCCTCCATGGGGCGGGCGGGGTATTTCTGGGCACCGGCCACAGCCACGTTGACCGAGGTCTGGTTGCTGCCCAGCTCGTTGGTGGCCAGGCAGGTGTAGGTCCCTTCCTCTCGCTTGCTCAGGTGAGGGATGACCAGGGTGCCGTTCCCGTAGACCACGAAGCGCTCTGCACTCTGCTTGGAGCTGCCAGCGGGTAGCTCGTTCCCAGCCCTCTCCACGCCGGGCCCCTTTATCTCCAGGGCTTGGCTGGCGGTTTGCACCTTCCAGCTGACCTCCGGCTGGGGGCTGCCCCTGACTCTGCAGTGCAGCAGGAGCGTGAAGCCGTCGTAGAGCTCGGTGTTGTCCAGGTTGGGGTGGTAGGTCAGCTGCACGGAGGGAGGCGCGCACTGCAGGTCTGGGATTCTCCCCAGTGGGACACCTCGGAGGCTGTCCGGGGCTGCACAGCTGATGGAGTCCTTCTCGGGGATGGAGATCAGGGTGTTCTCAGCCCAGCTCTTCAGCCACAGGAGCCTGCAGGTGCAGTTGAAGGGGTTGTTGTAGATCTGCAAGTGAGACAGGGAAGTCAGCGAATCGAAAGTGCCCTCGGCGATGGTGGTGAACTTGTTGTTGTTTATGCGCAGGGACCTCAGGTCTTTCAGGGTGTGGAAGGCCTCCCAGGGCAGCTTCACCATGTGGTTGTTGTTCATCTTGAGCAGCTGCAGGGCGCTGAGGTTGTACAGATCCCCCCAGGGGAAGTCTACGATCTGGTTGCGACTGATGTCCAGGTTCTTCAGCTGCACCAGGATGGCGAAGGTGCCCTGCTCTATGGCGCTGATCTCGTTGTGAGCCAGCCACAGCGAGGTGACCTGGGTGACCTCCACGAAGGAGCTCTTCTGCAGGGAGGTGATCTTGTTGGCGGACAGGCTGAGGGTGGTCACGTTGGAGGGCAGCCCCACGGGGACCGCCTGCAGATCTTTGTAAGCGCAGTCTGCGAACTGATGGGCGTATTTGTCCACACAGGAGCAGGGCTCCGGGCAGCCCTGGCTCACCCCCAGAAAAGCTGCGATCCACAGCCAGAGCAACGGGTCCATCTTCCTCCTGCAGCCAGAGACAGAGACATGCACGATTACCCCACCCGCTCCTAGCCTCGGAGACACCGCTGCGCTCTCTGGCTGGGAGCAGCCTGGTCCCTCCGCTTTTCCCTTAGCCCAAGGAGAACAGAGAGCAGCGCTCTGCCTCCGACGGAAAATCCAAGTTAGCGAGAGCTCCCTGCTCAGGGGACAGTGCGCTGCGCACGCGGACCCCTGGACACGTGTGATGCGCAAGATAACATCAGCCTAAGCAGTAACACACCCAAACCAGAGATCAGAGCCAACAAATCATTGTTTCAATTCGTTTTCTTCCTGCCTGTCTATTTCTCTGTCTGCCTTTCTTTCACCGGATCGCATGCCGTTTGGAAGTTGCAAGGACTCTATATAACACGTCATTGAACCACGTTTCCGGCACACCCGAAACTCAGACAGCACCGTGCAGTTTTCATATTGCGTGAAAAATATACGTTATCTAGTCTTTCCTTTTAAAAGCCCCGGTATCCCTTTCTTAGACTTCCCAGTTGAATTGGTCCTGAAGCTGCGTGGCACTGAACACCATGAGAAAGCTCTCAGGAGAAGAAATACATTCCACAAAAAGTGCTGTCTTAGATTGATAACAGAACAATTGATAAAGCAATGATTACAAACTTTGATAATAAAAAACATGTAACTAGGTCTGTCTTTTGCTGACCACAAATACATGAATATCGAAATATAAATGTATATGTATATAAAAAAACCTCCTGTGTAAAACCACGGTCAGATTTACCCTAATAACCTGTAGTTTCGCTGGTATTAATTTGAAGACAAACCGTGCCATGTAGAGGCTGCAGATCAGAAAGCTAGGGAAACATTAGCATTTTTGCCATGCACCCCTGCTGCTTCCCTGCTTCAGATGCGAAGACAAACAGCCCTCTAGAAACAGACAGATCTAACATTTGGGGCTAAACCCGGGCCCCACTGGAGCCAATGGCACAACTCCCATTGACCGCAAGGGAGCACGGATCCTATCTACCATAGCATCAGAAGAGATCTCGTCCTTTTTCCGACAGCAAAGCTGTTTGTACCTGAAGTCCCTTCTTTGAAATACACACTGTTAGTCCATCCTGCCATGCCTTTACAACCATGCCACGCGTGGCACACAAAAGCTACCACAATCTGGATAACTGCAGGCACCTCCCAAAGCCAAAAAGGAAAGGGATCCCTTCCAGCTAACGTCCTATGCGCAGGTGAAGTTTGCCCAGCCTTACCTGCTCAGCTTGGGAACTGGAGTGTCTCTATGGGGGCAGCTTCCAGGGAAGCACCCAGCTGCAGAAACCAGTCTGAACTCCAGGCATTTAGTTGGGAAGTACAGGGAGCCCCAGAGATGGGTGGGCTGCTGTGGATCTGTTGCTCCTGGTGGTGGCTGGCTTTAATTTTGCAATCGCAGAGGCAGCACACATTTTTGGAGCTTTGAGCTGCCCAGGCTGCAAGTCCCACTATCCTGATGACTGATCCCCCCTTGGCCCCCTCCCTTTTTTTAATTGCTGCTGGGTTGGAGAGTCGGTGCGCGCGCCCGATGCGCAAGGGAGCGCGCCTAGCCTCTCCCACCTCCTGCATATTCTGAGTGTGTTAAAGCCGCAGGGACTCCCACCAAACCCAATGCAATATTTATCATGTCAATATGTTTCCCAGTACATGTGCCATCTTTCAACTCTCCGCCCTCCTCCCCCACATTCCATATTTAGTGAATCTATTTGTTGTGCACTAATTGAATGCAAATAGCTTCTAAGCACTTCAGTGTGGGGAGAAACAAAGGAGGGGGCTGGACTAGATTATCTGGGACGAGTCTGCTCTTTTGAAGGGTTTAAACTCTTTTGAAAGAAAAATAAACATACAGATGATTTGATGCAGCCTCAGTGAGAACCGATCGTGATCAACCTCACCTCCAAGCATGTGTTTGCATAAAGTCTTTTAGCTCCATCTCTCTCGACCTGCGTCTGCTAGTCCTTTCCGCCCAGAGCTCGTTGGGTTTTGAACTATATTAAACAAAATACATAATTGATTTTATCAGTAGAATTGATCCCCCTTCTCCAAGTAGTTCTGGAGGCACCGGCAGCATCTGAAAACAAGAAGGAAATGATGCTACCTCCTCCGAGCACGTTTTTTAATTCAACGAGGCAAGAGGGAAAACAATAAAACGATAGTTAAGTTTTAACCATTCAGCATGTACACAAATGGATGTTTGAAAAATCAACCCGAAATCATCTAAAATGGTTTGAATCACCATTGTACATATGTAATCAGAGAGTTATAAACTCTCAGATTTATTATGTTAAGGGAGAAATGACCTGATGAAGGAAAACCCACGTGCAGGATAGAAATATACATTTTGGTGTACAGTAAGTCCATATAATGTTACTGTATAGTAGTAGGTGTAGACTCCTTTCACGTGCGGGTATGTATTCTTAACTAGATGTGTGTACAAATACATCCATCCATCAGACGTGGATGTGCACAGGTAAACCCACTATAATATTTTATACACTCACTTATGAATACATACAGGTACATTCATTACATGTTTGTACATCTATATACATAAACATTATACACACACACATATTACACACACGCACACACACACACACTTACTCATGTGCAGGGAATATACACACATTGTATATAGAATATGTGCGACATGTGTCTACATATTCAGCCACACACGTTTGGGTGCGGAGGGACCCTCTGTGAATGAATAAGGGTTTATCCAGTTTTGCCTGGTGTCTCTAGTAAGATCAATACCCTCTGTCATGCTCATACATATTTGAATGGCCAGGATTTAAATGAATGCCCCCAAAAAGGGGGTGGGGGTATCTGAAAAGAACCTCTGAAAAGGGTACTCTGCTTCGGAAGAAGCTTTTAAAATTAAATATTAACATCCACAGAGCACAGTGCTTTGTTAAACAGCGTGCCCTGAAACTGTTCTAAAACTCATCTTTCTTTCTTTGCCTCATCTACACAGACATTTGCACTACTTTAGTTAAGCTGATTTACTTAAACCAGTTTAATTCATCTGACATAAATGCCTTCTTAAATTGGTTATCTTGGTTTAGCTTAAACCTGTTTCTAATTGCAGTAAACTAAACCGAAATGAGCCTGGTTTAAACTGAAATAAGATCCACCATTCCACCTGATTTTTTGCACTGGTTTAATAAAACCGATTAAAATCAGACCTTTAGTTAAACTGGTGTCATCCTGTGTAGGCAAATCCAAATTTGCCTACCTGCTCTGATCCCACTCGGAGGGTCTGCTGTGCTAAAATGCTCAGCATAGTGTCCCAACTCGCCAGGTTTATTTGCATGCAGCTCCTGGAGGAACAAATCAGCCTGTACAAAGGTGAACGCTATCTGGCGTGATCATGCAAATTAAACCGTATAAAGCCACTGCCAAGGACATCTGTCATTGGCTGGAGTTTGGGGAGAGCAGAGCAGAGAGAGCTGCAGTGGCTAGGGTGGGATTAACGTAGCTCGACAACAGTAAAATAATCTTTGGCAACATAAAGCAAGTATTGGTGCTGGCGCGCTGCTGCCTTTCCGTGCAGATCTCAAAAGTCTGGTGAATCAAAATCCGTTATTGTCTCCTGAGCAAGCCTGTAACTTTTGGAAAGAAGATGAGCTTTTGCCCTGAGGATTGTGCATGGTCCTGTGGTTAAGTAAAGGTGCTGCATAAGGACTCAGAAGAGCTGGGCTCAGTTCTTGGCTCTGCCACTGACTCCCTGTGTGACCTTGGGCAAGTTATTTAATTCCCCTTGGCCTCAGTTTCCCCATCTGTACAAAGAAGGTAATAATTCTGTCTTGCCTATTTAGAGTGTAAATCCTTTATCACAGGAACTGTCTGTTTCTATGGGCCTGATCCAATGCCTGCCGAAATTGATGGAAAGATTCCTATTGGCTTGGATCATGTCCGATGTGCTTGTACAGCACCGACCGAAGTGAGCCCACTAACAACATGAATAAGAGGATTTAGAGCTTAGAGATGCATTTGCTTAGCATGATGTTGATCCAGATGCTATAGTACACTCTGAGGACTTTAGGGTGAGATGGAGATGATGGATTCAACAGTTTGCCCTGCCTATTACCGGATCTGCCTTTTGGGATCTCATCTGGGATGAGGCGGTAGAAAAGATGCAATAGACTGGAAAAGTAGGTGAAGAAACTTACTTTACAGCTGAAAAACGAGTCTAATTATTTAATTGCCTCTGGCCTCCAAAGTCCCAGCCTTCCCTAATCACTCAGGGAAATCTACACTTGCCTATGATGGAGTCTAGAGCTAAGGTGGCTCCAGTTCGGACGTTGCTTTCCTTAACAGTGCAGTGCTTTCTTGTAGGAGAACTGTAGGATGGTCAGGATTAGAAAGGCAAAACTAGGGCTGATCAGCAGCTAGTTAGACTAGGGTTGCTTTCAGTTCCTCTGGTGCTGAGGACATCACGTTTTCTTTAACACTAAACAGCGAAATGCCTCCGTCTCTCAGCTGTTCCGCGGTGCCAGTCAGACAGCTTCTAGCCCCCCGAGCTCTGTCAGCATTAAGGGACCTGCTATTTATTTTTGAAAACAGCTTAATAAAGGAAGCTCTCCGAGCTTTGTTACAAGCTTTTACAAACTGTGTCTCCTGTTGCTGCTGCTTAAAGCAGGCTGCACCAAAGGAACCAGCAGACAGCTCCCGCCCGCCACAACACAAGCAGTTGAGGGGTGACCTCAGGGCTTCTTTCCTCACCCTGATGGGCCGGTGGTTGAGCTGTCTCTCCGAGAGAGACTCCTCATTATCCCCAGCAGTTTGAAGACCTGATTGTCTTTGTTTTGTCTTGGACTGGTACCCAAGTGGGAAGGAGGGGATGGAAGAGTCCGCGTTACAATGCTTTGTTCTCTGCGATCGCAGCCTGGTACCCGCTGTTACTCATAACAGAGGCGGGGGGCGGTTTTCGGCTAACGAGTGACGTGCTTGAGAAGGAGTGCAGTTTGTGTCCAGTCGGCAGGGACCCATTTCACAAGGGGAAGCAGGGGCGTTCATTAGTGTTAATGATCACATCCCACGATGCTAGAGACAGGACATTAAGGGAGCTGGCCCATGGCTCTGACCCACTCCAGCAATTCCACAAGTGTCTGCAGAAAACGCCGCTGCACCTCCTGGAACAGACATGGCCCTGTCCTTCCAACTGCTGGGCTTGGGGCAGGGAGAGGCAAAGGGTCCAATCCAAAGACCACTGAAGCCAATGGGAGGTGTTTCACTCATGTCAGAAGCTTGGGCTCCCTCCACATTGGGTTGGGGGAGGAGGACAAAAGGGGGCAGGGAGGAAGAAAGGCCTAATGGATAAGGCTCTGTCCTTTCACTGAGGAGACCTAGCTTACATTCCTGGCCCCCTCTCTCCTTTTTGTATCTCCCCGCAGATGTCCCCTATGTGTCATGGTCTTATCTATTTTGACTGCAAGCTCTTTGGGGGCAGGGACCATCTATTAGTGGGTGTTTGTTCAGTACCAAGCACAATGGTTTCCCACTCTTGGCTGGCCCTTATGTACCACCAGAATACCCATATTATATACAAATGGGTACCTAGATGGATGAGGCATGGGGGGAGGTGGGATAGAAGATGACCAACAAATGGATGTGTGGGCTGGTGGGACAGTTGGAATTTAATATAGACCTCCAATAGAGGCCTTCCTATGGGATGGGGACCAAGCAGATACTGGACACAGCGTTGGTATATAATACTCTAAATGCTCTTTATTGATTACAAAACAAACCTTACTCATTCCACATTCACACCCCAAACATACTATAGACTCATAGAATATCAGGGTTGGAAAGGAGGTCATCTAGTCCAATCCCCTTCTCAAAGCAGGACCAATCCCCAACTAAATCATCCCAGCCAGGGCTTTGTCAAGCCTGACCTTAAAAACCTCAAAGGAAGGAGATTCCACCACCTCCCTAGGTAACACATTCCAGTGCTTCACCACCCTCCTATACCAGATCCCAAAGTCTGTTAGAGAAGGAGATTATTCCATTTGGGACATGCCCTTGGATGGAAGGTGTCGTGGAACTGGATGTAACACTTGATACCTTAGAAAACATGTTTGAGAAATATGTACAGCTGTACAAGCCTAATGCCCATAAAAAGCAAATGGCCATAGTATGGCTGTTGTGGCAAGCTGTAAAAAAGGCAATTGCATGTAAGGGGGAAGTCTGTGCAGAGTTACAAACATTACAAGAGAATTTTAAAACTTGCCAGGAAAATTTGTAATGGGAAGTGAGCAAGGCCCAGATAATACAAACTGAGAACAAATGGGGAAACAAAATAGGGAATTAGAGAAGAGAATGATGGGTTGGGAAAAGATTAAAGCACACAAAGATAAATTAGTAATAGGAATGAAACAGTTATGGAACAGTAACAGTAACAGGAATGAAACAGTCCAAGTAATAGGAATGAAACAGTTAATTTGAGATTTGACTAAGGAAAAGGAAGAGGAGATCATAAGCTTTTCTC